CAGGGAAAGACCAGCGGTTTGGAATCAGGCAGGATTGACTGAAACTCTGCTTTGCAGTTGACTCTGTGTGAGATTCTGGGCAATTTCGCCAAGTTTCTAAGCCTCCCTTTCCTCTTGGTGAAATGGTTGTAAGAGTTCCAGCTTTGTAAGTGTGATGTGACTAAGGTTGTTTTCCGTTTGGGTTAGTTTCCTGTTGCTGCTGTAACAAATCACCACAATGTAGTGGCCTAAATAATACGACGTTGTTATTGTAAACGTCTGGAGGTTAGAAGCTTAACATGGGTGTTACTGGGCTCATATCAAGGTGGCAGCAAAGCCGTATGCCTCCTGGAGCCTCCAGGGGAGAATCACTTCTTTGTTTTTCCAGCTGTTAGAGGCCGCCTGTACCCCTCCCATCCCTCCAAGCTCTGCTTCCATCATCATATGCTTTTCCTTGACCCTCTTATATACAAGGACCATTGTGATTTCATCGTGCCCACTCAGATAATCCAGAATAATCTCATCTCAAAATCCATAATTACATCTGTAAAGTCCCTGTTGCCATGAAAGCTGACCTATTCCCAGATTCTTGGGCTTTAGAACATGGATCTCTTTGGGGAAGGAGGGCATGAGTTTGCCTACCACACTTTCCTCACTGATTTCTTAACCCCCTGATGTTCCCCAACCTGGACAGAAGCCTCTCTTTCCTGTTTGAGTCTCTCATGGCTCCTACTCTTGCCTCCACACTTCCAGCCATCACCTTCTCTTTTTCTTCCAGTCCAAATCCTGACTAAATCCCATTGGGTAAAAATAAATAAATAAATAAATCCCATTGAGTCAAAATAAATAAACAAGCAAACAAATAAATCCCATTGGGTATAGTAGCTCACCATTCATTTGGCTCACACTCTGCTTTTCTGGCATATATTTGTGGCGCTCAGGTACTGAATGTATGTTGAATGAATAAATCTCCGTTACCATACCATAAGCTAAAAGAATATAAATAAATCATGGAAATGTGCAGCATAGGGAATGTAGTCAATCCTGCAGGTCTAGAAAATAGGGGAGGTTTTGTAATGCAGGTGAAGGGGACACTGGAGAATTGCTTGAATCATAAGCAAAACCACTGGTGATGGGGACGAGGCAGAGTTGGGCCAGTTTACAACTGAAGAAAAGATCAGCAGGATTAGGAAGGGCACAGAGTGCAAAAGAGACTTGAAGGACTGGGGAAAAGCCTTACAAAAACTAACAAAGGTGCAAATATTTTTGCAAAATGGTCCCACCTTATGATTAAGATGCGGCCGCCTGTACCCCTCCCATCCCTCCAAGCTCTGCTTCCATCATCATATGCTTTTCCTTGACCCTCTAACCCCTCTTATATACAAGGACCATTGCACAAATATTTATAAAAAATAAAGATGCACCATTGTTGGAGATATTATTCCAAACGGAATAATCAACCCCAAATCATTCTATGCATAAGTATTAGTGCATTTTACTTTGGTTGCAAAGATGACTTGTTAAAAAATATATTAAAATTTAAACAGAGATTTCCCATGAGAACCAGCAACCCCAAATCTGAGTGTATACCCAAAAAAATTCTCTGAAATCAATAAAAAATATATATTTTTTAAAAACACTTTTTTTAAAAAAAAGATGCACAAATATTTATAAAAACATAAAGATGCACCATTGTTAGAGAAATTATTCTAAACGGAATAATCAACCCCAAATCATTCTATGCATAAGTATTAGTGCATTTTACTTTGGTCACAAAGATTACTTTTTAAAATATATAAAAATTTAAACATAGATTTCCCATGTGATCCAGCAACCCCAAATCTGAGTGTATACCCCAAAAAATTGAAAGCAGAGATTCAAGCACATATTGGGACACCCATGTTCACAGCAGTGTTATTCTCAACAGTCAAAAGGTAGAAACAACCCAAATGTCCACTGAAAAGTAAGTGACTAATCAAAACATATGTTCATACAGTGGGATACTGTTTAGCCTCACCAAGGAATGGAATTCTGAGACATGCTACAACATGGATGAACCTTGAGGACATTATACCAAGTGTCACAAAAGGACTGATACTGTGTGATCCACTTATGATGTCCCTGGAGTGAAAATCATGGAAACAGAAAGTAGACTGGTGGTGGTTGCCAGGGGTTGAGGGAGGAGAAATGAAGAGCTAGTGTTTGATGGGTAGACAGTTTCACTTTGGGAAGATGGAAAAATTCTGGAGATGGGTGGTGGGGATGGCTGCACAACAATGTGAAGGTATTTAATGCCACAGAACTGGACATTGAAATGCTATGTTATGTGTAAATTGTCCTACCATTTTTAAAAAAATAATGAAAAGGTAGCTGAAAATATCATCAGGTTATCTATATCTATTTATATTAAAACCCTGGGTGCAAGCGGCGGCTCTGGAGCTGGCTGCGGGTGCAAGCGGGGCCGGCGCTGGCAGTGGGTGTGAACA